AAATATTATACTTCACATATAACAATAGAGGAAAATTTGAGAAACATTATATGGAACTGTTCTCTCTACTAATAAGAGGTCAGATGATATATGTAGATCAATAAAATGAGTTTCTCCGTGCAATATAACCGTATGTGGTGTATGTGCCTTTAAATCTGTTAAAAAAACAGAATGAAACATACACCAAAATAGTGTACTTTTTAGGAAAAGTATAAACCATATAGAATAGGAATACAGTATTGGGGACTGTTCCTATGTTGCAATAATATATAATATCGCTTAAAAGTAACCACTTAAAGGATAAATCTTCAAGATAATATAAAATCAAATTTATTAATAAAAGATACTCAAAAAATAATCAAAAAATAAGTGTGTAGACTGATTAAAATACAAAAATATAAGCCAGGAACGTTAAGCAAGAGTATTACCAGCACAGTAGTAGTCCTTGTTTCAAATTTGTACCAGGGACCGGCCAGGATGGATATAGATACTTTGTGTCACAAAAGTTTCCTCTGGCTGTTGGCTTGTCAGTGAGGTTAGCGTGCGTCTCAGACCTCACTCTGAGAACTGCACGCTGTAGCTAGATCAGTCCCCAACTTGTGAGAGCTTCCTCGATGCACCCAAGGTCCTGCCACTGTATCCTGCTTGAGATCTGACGCGTTTCGTGGGTGTCCGCCCCACTTCTTCAGAGATGGAATAACGTTCCGTGGTTAAGCGATGGTTTAAATATGTTTCTCATTGATTAATCCTAATTGTTATACATAGTAACTATTGCATGGAATAAATACATTTGATCTGGTAAAACGGAATGTTTAAGAGGATATATTGCACTGGTAAATTCGGAATAAACTCAAAAATAGATTGTAGTTAAATATACATCCAATTAGTTAATTAATTTAAAAGGACAATGTAAAAACATAATTAAAAGACATACCCAAAGATATATTACATCAAGGGTCTAAAAACATATAGGGTCTAAAAACATATTGTTAAAAGTCGGTATATATACAGTCCATATCGGAAATATGTTAAAAGAACGAGATGAGATAAAAAGGCAATTGCTGTTGTATCCCATAACATTATATAATACTTCTAATAACATTATAAAATGCACGAAAGATATGAAAAAAGTACAATTTATATACAATAATAACCGTTAAAGAACATACAAATATGATAAATTTATTCAGATAGGTGATGCTGTAAAATCAATAGCATATTATTAGAGGTCTCACTCTTTGGCTGCACTCCATACCTGCAAGGAGCGTGTGAAACAACAAGAGAAGAAAATGATCAGAGAAAAAATCAGAGAAGAAATAAGGGAAAACATACATAAATATACAATTAGTGATACTCATGTGTCTAAATATTGTTCTATATTAATAAACTAATATGAACCTAATTAATGCAAACCTGCTAGGAAACAAGAATGTATTTGGGGAACTGACCTTCTGGTGATTAGTGATGTCGCGAACACGAAATTTTCGGTTCGCGAACGGCGAACGCGAACTTCCGCAAATGTTCGCGAACCGGCGAACCGCCCAAACCGCAATTGACTTCAATGGGCAGGCGAATTTTAAAACACACAGGGACTCTTTCTGGCCACAATAGTGATGGAAAAGTTGTTTCAAGGGGACTAACACCTGGACTGTGGCATGCCGGAGGGGGATCCATGGCAAAACTCCCATGGAAAAGTACACAGTTGATACAGAGTCTGGTTTTAATCCATAAAGGGCAGAAATCACCTAACATTCCTAAATCACAATCAATATGGATTGACACCTGACATATGACATATTGACACCTTGACATATGGATTGACACCTGTCCTCAAGAGCCCCTGATGCACACGGACACAGAGCAGAATGAGAGACTGAGGGTCCCCTACATAGGGTCACTTAGCGGAATGGATTGACACCTGTCCTAAGGTTCCCTGATACACGCACACTGACACAGAGCAGAATGGGACTGGTCCCCTACATCAGTCACTTGGCAGATTATGGATTGACACCTTGTTACAAACTGCTATTTGTAACGGGCCCTTTAAATGGCAAATTGCCCTGTTTCCCTGGGTTGTGGAGAAGCCTCTTTGCCAGCCTCCTCCCGCATGACTATGGCCCCTGGGAGATTGTGAAAATGTATGCACTTTTATTTGGTGTGTATGGCCCTTTAAGACTGTGGTGGGCATATTGGGGCTTATGGACTCTTTATGTGACTGGTGCTGGCCCTTTAAACACCTTTTTTGGGACATCAGGAAGATTGGGACACTGCCCCTTTAAGGCCGTGTCCCCAGACTTGTTGGGGACACTGTCCCTTTAAGACGGTGTCCCCTGTGTCCCCAGACCTGGTGCAAACCCTTTGTGCCTGCCTGGCTAATTCCCACTTGGTTCAGTAAATGGGGCTTACTAAACCAAGTACCACACAGGCAGACCACCCAGAAGTGGAAATGTGCAGGCAATTTACCTCCCAGAAGCTGTGGTTAACCGCAGCTTAATTGACAATGCTGGGAGGTCTTTGTTCGTTTGCTGAACACGTGGCGGTGGCCATCTTTGATCATTCGACGAGGTCAGCGGTATGTGTAGCCAAATTCATGGAACTAAAATCGGCTACACATTTCCGCGAACACCGCTGAGCTCTACCTTCTCCCTTACTGGTTTTACAGCTGCAGAGACTAAGTCCCATTCGTGATGGGACTTGAGTCTTTTGTATTTCAGCTGCAGAGACTAGGGTCCCATTAGAGTGATGGGACTTGATGGATTTTCAACCTGAAATGAACCGACCTCAGCCCAAAATCTATGGAACTGTTTTTGGGCGGGAAGAGTAATATGCTGGTCGGTCATAAAGGGACCTCCAACTAACTTTTTAACCCCTGGATGGATTTGGCTGATTTTTGAGGATTTATGTTTATGTTTTAAGTGTGCTGATTCCAATATGTAATTATGAAGATGGGATGTGTAGTTTTAAAGTTACAGGGTATGGCTAAAACTGTATTTTTACTGCCTGTGTTTAATTATGTTAATCTCTTCCCAAACGTCATTTCGTTCAAAGTGGAGAGAATGTTAAAAAAATATATTTTTGTTCGGAGTGTGAGAAATGCTTTTCAGCCGCTTCAATCTTAAGCATCATTTGAGGAGCCATACAGGAGAGAAACCTTATTTGTGGTGTGTTTAGTATTGTTCTGATCAGTTTAATACCTTCCGCGTCTCCTATCAGTGGACATGTATATGGCAGCTATTTTAGGAACCGTACACCTGGGACCTGAGCAAGGTCACCTCATTCAACAGGCTTGCAGCGTATCCTCAGGAAGAAGAGCCTGAACCCTTACCGGCTACGCGTGTCTTACCTGTGTAGGCTGCTCCTGGTTCCTTGTGATGCCAAGACCCGGCTGCCCAGGTGAGGATTAACATGTCGATGGAGAAGCTATGTCCTGTAAAAGGCCTCACCAAAAAGGAGTGGTGTGTTTAGTATTGTTCTGATCAGTTTAATACCTTCCGAAAAGTCTCCTATCAGTGGACGTGTATATATGGCAGCCATTTTGTCGAGATTCAATTTCTTGTGCCCACAGTTCAAAATAACATTCAAATGACAATTCATGACAGATCACACAAGTGAATATTAGCCCTGCCAAGCGTCTTCTCAGAATTTTTTCGTTTTCTATGAAGAAATAGAAATGCAAAGGCAAGAATAGAGACTGATCAGTTTAATACCTTCCGCGTCTCCTATCGGTGGGCGTGTACACGGCATTGATTTTTGTAACAGGGAGATGGAAGAAGAGGCTTGGTCGGTCCTCTTACTGCAAATTTGGGGCACTGCGCGGTCAAGCTAATGTGACACCAGATAGGAGTGGTGTGTTTAGTACTGTTTTTAGCAGTTTAATACCTTCCGGGTCTCCTATC